AGGCGGCGGTTCGAGCGGGCCCGGTCTCGTCGGACGGGGTGGTCGGAGGTGGCGGCTGTGTGGTGGTTTCCGATCGGTGAACAGTGACGGGAAGGGAAAAAATCGCAAGGAGAAGAAGAAGACGCGGGAGGAAGAGAGAGAAAGTGAGGGGTAAATGTGAAAATCTGATTTTTACCCCAAACTTACTTCGAAATAATTACGGTTCTGCCACCGAACAAGTTTTGATCGCCAAAACTTCGTTAAATCTCCGATTCAGGCCTACCGCCTGTCTACGGTTTCGTCTCAGTACCACCTACGCAACCACACCACTCACGGTCCCAAAATCTTCCCGGATAAGAAAGTGACCAAAATCACCCTTAACCCAGGAGTAATTTAATATTTTCCCTTAATTAAATTAAATAGGGAAAATAAACGGAGTCGGGGTGTTACAGATCCCTTGAAGAAATATTTATTACGATATTCAAAATTATAATATGAACTTGAGTGCTTATTGGGAAATTAATTACAGATATGTGTGATGTTGAAGAGTTATACAAAGTATTAGGATTGTGTGATAGAGTGTATTGGGGTATACTGGAGGTATATTTGGTAGTTAAATAGGATATAATTAGTTAATTTTATATTTTGATTAAAATATTATGATGTACTCAGTTAATTTTAGGGTTTCCAATATAAATGAATACATATATGAACTTGGAATACCTTTTATTTTATTGCTAGTCAACTATTCTAATGTGGACAACAGTTTTTTATTTTTATTTTCTAACCAAGATTTCATTGGCAAACGAGCCAACTTCAATTTAATAATCGCCAATGCTAACTTATCTTTCATGCCATCAAAGAACTGAAAATAAGCATGCCTCCATGACTTGTAACACAAGTAATTGCGCCAAACACTCCAAAAGCCTACAATAAAGTCTATCGCTAGTACCGTGGTAATACAACAACAAATATATTATGATGAAATGAGTTTATTGAACTGGAATCAACATAGATTAGAGAAATGATATTACTCAAACACTAGAGAATAGTAACAGAGAAGCAGAGACAACCCATATATGTTGCAAGGTATCTTTCCCATAATTGTTGTCATCAAGATCAATCACTTACAATGAGTATAAATTTTGCAAGGAAAAAGGAATTTTGCTACCAAAATCGTTTTTATCATCTTCAAATTTTTATTTTTGATACTAGGTAATTTAATCTAGGACCTCGGGTGCAAATTTAAATGCTCTTAACCACTTAAGCTATGAACCCCTAGCAAACAATCACTAGATTTGTATCCAAATATTAAAGCATTTTTCAATAAATGCATCATTAATATACGCTTATACATTTTTGAAAGAATACATGTACATTGATGCCCATTAGAATACGTTTATGCAACTCATTAGAATACGCTTATACATTGGGGGTGGGAGGTCGATCCATATTTACGAGCAACTCATTAGAATACGTTTATGCATCTAATTTTGAATGCATTTTTCGTAAGCTGAAGAAATTGGGTCCTTGTATGGCTTTTATTTCCTTGTCACCGTTTCTTCGATAGAAAGGGATACAGGATAGATAATCAAGATTCCAGGTCCTTAAAACATTTCGGAAGGTTGCAACATGCAAGTCCAATCAGGTACATGGAGTTCAAATGCATTTTCTTGACTAAACTGTAGTCTAGTCCAGTTTTCATATATAACGTGACTAAGCTATCAATTTTGACCGTTGTGGCCAAAGCCTGCTCTCATTCATCCAGTGGCTCCTTCTTTGGACAACAACTTACATGCATCGAGCTATATACTCTTTTAAATGTGGAAATCTTTCATCCAACAAAATCTTTGACAACGGGTAATTTGAGAAATATATATGTTGCGGAGGCTTTGAGGGTCTCCTCCAGCATTCAATAGCGAGCGAATAAGTTATTTGTGTGGTCTTTTTATTTTTGTCTTGTTTTGTTTGGAATGGGTTGTTATTACTGGTTTGTAGCTAGTACATATATCTTAAAGGTCAATATGTTCCATATATAAGTCTTGGTATGTGTACATACATGTGTTTAGTCTAAGCTTGCACCACTAATAAGTATTGATACTCATTAGAATATACTTGTTGCAAATCACTGCACCTCGTTGGATGCATTGTTCATAGGTGAAGAACTTGAGTCCATCACAGTTTCCAGGTCCTCACCCTATTTTTCAAGTTTTCAAGTCAAATCAGGCAGATGGTGTTAAAATGCAATTGTTGACTAATTAGAGCACAGCTCTGAACTAGTCTTTTTTTTTTTTTTTTTTTTGGTCGAAAACACTTTCAATAAACGAAAGGGAAGGAGAGGGCCAGAACCCAAATACAGCCAAGAAACAACCCCAGCCAAAACAAAAGCCCAGGCTAACAACTATTAACCCCAGGGGACACAAGAAGGAAACGCACAGACCAACAACACCAGCCTGAAGCCAAACCAAAAAAAAACCACTAACCAGTTAGGCAAAGCAACCTAGGACGCCGCCCCAGAAGACGAGCGTCAGCTCCTAACTGGGCAAAGGAACTTAGTCTTGTGGAGGACAGGGAAGGCCATCAATTTGTAAAACAAACACCAGGGAGGATGGGGGTCTGTTGAGCCAGACCTCATCGCACATCCGCCTCTTTGCTACAAGAGCTGCAGCATCCGCTGCTTTGTTAGCTCTCCTCGGAATCCACTTCCAGGAGCACGAATCGAACCATCTGCATTTTTCCTTTATTGCTGCAAGGATTGGGTAGATTGTCCATCCACCACTTTGAATATTTCCCTTTATACTTTGAACCAGCTCCTTGGAATCAGATTCACACTCTAGGTGGATACTGCCCAAGTCCGAGGCGACCTCCAGACCATTTAAAGCTGCATGGGCTTCAGCTTCAATGGGAGAACAGGCCAGTCTGGCCTTACCAGTACCCCTCGCGAAAATACCAGTTTTATCCCGAATGACAGCTCCTAAACCAGCAATTAAGGACTCTTTGTCCCAAGCCGCATCCACGATTAGCTTTAGAGTAGATTGGGGGGGAGGGAGCCATCTCTGGACAGAGACCAGTCAAGTTGTTATAGGAGAAGTTCAGGTGAGACAAGAAGGTGGAAGATGAAAGACTTTGAGGAATCCAGCCTGAAAGGCGGTTGCGTGAGAGATCAAGAACTTCGAGCAACTGCAAGCTTCCAATGTTTGAGGGAATGTTTCCACTTAGTTGGTTCTCCGATAAGTTCAAGCTGTGCAACAGGAGGAGGCTGCATATTTCTTCAGGGATTTCACCTTCAAGGCTATTCGATGAAAGATCAATGCTTTTAACCAACATCAAAGTCTGCCGCTGATATTCGAGTTCTGTTACTTTCACCACTGATGTTTGCTGGTCATAATATGAATATAAGTCATACGCACTGGAATTGCCATGCGTTAAAGCACTCAGATGATTCAAACACTTGGGGATGGTTCCTGAAAAGTTGTTGTGAGCAAGGTCTAGGATGTGAAGGTAGCCAAGATTGCACAGCTGTTGGGGGATATATCCAGTAAAGAAATTCGATCGCAATCGTAAGATCGACACCAGGGGCACATTTGATCCTATCCATGAAGGTATGGTGCCAGTGAATCTATTATTTCCAAGATCAATGTGCCTCAAAGAAGTGCAATTTTGCAAGGAAAGTCGAATTTCACCATCCAAATTATTGTTGTTGACCTTCAACATAAAAAGTGACCCCGGGACACCAATTGAATTTGGAAGCTTGCCTGAGAGATTGTTGTATGCAACATCTATGACCCATATTTCCTGCAACAGACTCCATGCTTGAGGAAATTTTCCTGAAAGTTCATTGCTTCTCAGAGAAAGGACTAGCAAGTTTTTGAGGTTGCAAATAGAGAGTGGAATCGTACCATTCAAATAGTTCTCAGAAATGAATTGGAAATCAATTGTGGAAATCGTTGGTCCAAATTCATTGGAATTGGCCCAAAAAATGAATTGGAGTGAAGCTGAAGACGGATCGCATTGTCACTGGACCAAACTGGGGGGCCATGAATTTGATTATGACTCAAATCCAAAATCAGAGCATTTGGAAATTTCGATTGCAATGGAAGGTTTCCAGTGATTTGGTTGTGAGACAAATCCAAATAATAGACTTCGGAAGATATTTTAGAGAACCAGTCCTCTGGTATGGCACCTGAGATTCCAGCACCATGAAGTTTGACAAAGGCTAGTTCAGTTTGAGATTGAAGCCATGCTCCAAAGGTAGGACCTACTCGACAGTTTCCAATGTTGATTGTGTGAAGCATGAAAGGAGGAACCCACTCATAAGACACATTGAAAATGAGAGGAATAGGTAGAGTAGGGTATGGGGTGACTTCGCCTAATGCAAAGTATTTCAATCTTGTGAGATTTGTGAAATGGGCTTCAGTTAAAAACCATGAATTTAAAGATAAATCTAGGTGAGTTAGCTGAGAGAGTTGCCCCAAGCTTTCAGGAATGGACCCGTTCATTTCATTATTGTAGAGACTAAAATACTGCAAATTGTGTAGCATCCCCAAGGAGGCAGGCAAATCTCTTTGCAACATATTAGAAGACAAATCTATTGACTCTAAATTTGTGTTAAGACAACTTGTTAAACCACCCAAAAGGTCTTGAATCCCCCCATCAAATTTGTTGCTAGCAAGATTCAAGATCTTTAGCTTACAAAAATTTCCAGCCAGTTTGGGAATTTGACCTTCAAGTGCATTGAAAGATAAATCAAGATGTTCCAATGATTTGAGCCTTCCAAGTTCAAGGGGAAAGGCACCACTGAAAGAATTCCCCCTTAGATCAAGTTTTCTGAGGTTAGCTAGATTCAAAAGCCATTCCAGAAATGGAAACTTCACATCATTATACGACATGTCAAGGATCAAAAGTGATTTGAGGCTAATATTTCCCAGGGAGAGTGGAAGGCTTTCAATCTGGCATGCTGGTAAGTGTAGCTCTAGTAGGGAAGGGAGCATGTTAACAGCATGTAGCCAACTTTCCCCTGTGTTGTTGAGGCCCAGTCCTTCAAGGTTGAGGTATTTTAGGAAAGAGAGATTGGAAAGCCAATTCAAGTTGTTGGAAGGAAGTTCAAGTAAAGAGTAGTCAGACTCTTCACTGAGGTCAAGATAGTTTAAGTTTGAGAGGTTTCCAAGCTGAGGTGGAATCTCTCCTCCAAATGAAGCATAGGAGAGATTGAGATACCTCAAACTTTTAAGCTGACCAAAGAATTTGGGAATAGGAATCCCATGAAAATCATTCTGGCTTAGGTCTAGGTAATTCAAATGTTTCAGGATAAGCAAAGAAGGATTTATCTTACCCCCCAAAGAAGAGTGCTCCATCTCATCCCACTCTGCATCAAAAACAGACAGCGTATACGTATAAGTGTTCCGCAGATTCATCATTTCAACATGACCTGTTTTGTTTTTGCATGAAATTCCTTTCCATTGACAGCAATGTTGACCTGCCCAAGAAGAAAGCCTCCCAGAAGGATCAGTAAGATCTTGTTTAAAGGCGAGAAGCGCATGTAACACCCCGACTCCAATTGTTTCCTATTTTAATTTATACAAATTTATAAATAAACCCAATCCTAGACATGTATTTATAAAAAAACCCAAGCACTATTTAAACATAGAAACACACCCAAAATCAACCACAAAGTCAACTTTTTGGGTGTGTTTATAAATGAGTTTTGAGTGTGTGTAATGATGGGTTTTGGGTGTGTTTATAAAGTGTTTTGGGTGTTGGGTTTTTTTATAATTTCAACCTCCATTTTGGGTGTTTTAGTGAAACTCCTTTTAATTTAATTAAGAGAAAATATTAATTTACTCTTGGGTTAAGGGTAATTTTGGTCAATTTCTTATTCGGGAAGATTTTGGGACCACGAGTGGTGTGGTTGCATAGGTGGTACTGAGACGAAACTGTAGACAGGCGGTAGGCTTGAATCGGAGATTTAACGAAGTTTTGGTGATCAAAATACGTTCGGTGGCGGAACCGTAATTAATTTGAAAAGAGTTTGGGGTAAAATCTGATTTTTTTCATTTTTACCCCTCTCTCTCTCTCTCTCTCTCTCTCTCTCTCCCGCGTCCCCTCTCCTCTTCGTCTTTCTCACAGCCGCCACCCTCCAAGATCACCGCCTCCGCTACAGTCCACGACCGGTCTCGTTTGAACCGTCAGCTCCCCCTCGTCCTTTCCCGACCAGTTTCAGCCATCACCGTCCACTGTGCTCGCCGGAAAACGCAGAAAAGCTGCCGGAAGTGACAGAACTTCCAGCCGCTCGATCTCTCTCCTCCAGCCACCATTTCCGACGGGTAAGGTGAGGTTTCTCATCCATTTTCTGTGTTCTAGCTGGCTGTGGCATAGGAATTGATCAATTTGCAGTTTAAATTCACAAATTTGGAAGTTAGGTTTTGGCCGGTTTTCAATGTGAAATTCCGGCCACTTGCCGTCCGAATTGGACGTTGCCGTAGTTGAAAAAGATGCTCCATT